GAAATAGCAAAACTCTCAGACGCACAGTTTAAAACACTGGTCATCAGGATCCTCACAGAACTGGTTGATTATAGCCACAAATTAGACAAATATATGAAGGCGAAACTAATTGAAATGAATGGAATTGCACAGGACACCAATAGCGATGAAAAGGAAACTGGGACTCAAATCAATGGAGTGGACCAGAAGAAAGCAAATAATGGCCAAACAGAAAAGAGTCAAGAAGCAAGAATTCAAAGAAATGAGGAGAGTCTTAGGAACCTCCAGGACATCTTTAAACACTCCAACATCCGAATTATAGGGGTACCAGAAGGGGGGAAAGGCACAGCCACCAGTGGAAAACTTATTTGAACAAATAATAAACGAGAACTTCCCCAATCTGGCAAAGGAAATAGACTTCCAGGAAATCCAGGAAGCTCAGAGAGTACCAAAGAAGTTGGACCCAAGAAGGAACACACCAAGGCACATCATCATTACATTAGCCAAAATTAAAATGAAGGAGAGAATCCTAGAAGCAGCAAGAGCTAAGGGGACAGTCACCTACAAAGGAGTCCCCATCAGACTGTCAGCAGATTTCTCAAAAGAGACCTTACAGGCAAGAAGGGGCTGGAAAGAGGTATTCCAAGTCATGAAATCCAAAGACCTACAACCAAGACTGCTCTATCCAGCAAAACTTTCATTTAGAATGGAAGGACAGATAAGGTGCTTCTCAGATAAGATCAAATTCAAGGAGTTCATCATCACCAAGCCCTTATCATATGAAATGTTAAAGGGACTTATCTAAGAAAACGAAGTTAAAGAAACATGAACAGTGAAAGGACAACAAACTCACAGTTATTAACATCCACACCTAAAACGAAAGCAAACTAAAAGGACAGCTAGATCAGGAGTGGAAACATAGAAATGAAGATCTCAAGGAGGGTTAGCAACAGGGGAGTGGGAGGAGGAGAAGGGGGGAGAAGGTACAGAAAATAAGTAGCATAGACAGTAGATAGAAAATAGATGGGGGGGCAAGAATAGCATGGGAAATATAGAATCTAAAGGACTTGAGACACATGGACATAAACTAAAGGGGGGTAATGGTGGGGATGGGGGGTAGGGTGGAGGGGAATGAAAGGGGGTATAGAACAACTGTAACAGCATAATCAATTAAAAAAAAAGAAAAAAAGACTTTACTTATTTATTTTTATGGAGAGGGGAGGAGAGAGAGAAAGAAAGGGAGAGAAACATTATGTGTGGTTGCCTCTTGCATACCCCAACTAGAGACCTGGCCTGCAACCCAATCACATGCCCTGACTGGGAATCAAACCAGAGACCCTTTGATTGCAGGTAGCTCTCAATCCACTGAGCAACACCAGCCACAGCTAATTATAAGGTTTTCCTTAGAGTTGTTTTTGTTTTGCTATACACAAACAGATAAACAGATGCACAAACATAGGTATATATACTCATTAGCAAAGTTTTTAATTGTGTTGTCCTATCCAAATCTTCTATACCTTGCTGATATTTTTTGATGAATCTATTTTATGTATTGATTAATGAAGAAGTGTGAATATATTCTGTGAGAGGGGTAGATTAAGTATTGTCAATATAAGTATTTTTGCTTTATATATTGTGATAGTACATTATTACATGCACATAGATTTAAAATTGTTATGCCCTCTTTGAGAACTGAACATCATATCATTACATAGCAGCTCTCTTTGTTTTGGCCTTAAAGTCTATTTATTTGATATGAAAATAGCTAAAGCAGAATAACTTTGGTGATTGCATAGCATATTTTTTTCTTTTCCTTTTCTAAATTTTTATGCTTCAGACATACCCTTATTAAGTGGCATGTGGCTGAATTTTGTAATAAGGCAATCTTTGTTATTTACAAATAAAAATTTTTAAATGTGTTTTTAGTTGTCCTACTAATGGATTCATTTTTCATCTTATTTTGTGTCTCATTTTTTTCTTGCTTTCTCTTGGATTACTTTTTCCAGTCTCATATGTTTCCCTTGGAAACATATGAAGTTATATACTCCTTTTATTATTTTAGTAGCACTAAATTATTTCAATATTTTTCCTCCTAGGGTTAATCAATATCTTTACCCTCTTCCTGAGTGACATGAGGACTTAAAACACTTTAATACTAAAAATCTCTTCTTGAATGATATGATATTGTTTTATGTTTTAGTTCTAATTTAACCCCATAAAACATTAGTATTTCATGCAGTTGATGCTCATTTAGCTATATGCACCCATTTATAATTTTCTTTGGTATTTGTTTAGACTTCCTCTGACTAGCATGTAGATTAGTACTTCCTTTAGTGAAGATCTGCTTTCAGTCCTCCCTGCTGCAACATCCACTCCCCTCCATTATCCTCTGTCATTCTGGGCTGAGCTGAAAATGTTTTTATTGCTTTCAGTTGTACATAATACCCTCTCTGGGTATAAAATTCTAGATTGGCAAATACATTCTTTCACTACATTGAAGGTATAATCCCATTATCTTCTTGCTTCTATTGTTATTGCTGAGAAATCCATTTTCTATTTAATTGTCATTTCTCTAAAAGTAATGTCTCTTAAGATATTTGCTTTGTCATTGGTCTTCTGAAATTTCCATATGATGTATCTAGATATGGAATTGTTTAAAACATATCTTACTCGGAATTTCTAACTCCAGACAGTGGTGTCTTTCATCAATTCTAACACATCTCTTCAAATACTCTCCTGTCCTTGGTCTCACTTGCCTCCTCTTCTCTCTCTGTCCCCATGTCCCTTAATCTCTACACCATTTTCCCCCATCTCTCTGATACTCTGCTACATTCTGGGTAATATTATAGAGCTCTTTTTAAAATTTAATAATTCTCTCTGTATGGCTAAAATGAGACACTGAATTTTAAATGTAAGTATATTTTTGTTTATAGAAAATCAATTTCTTTTCAAATATACTTTACCACTTTTTAAAATCAATTTGTCTTTATTCATATTGTCAATCTTGAAAGTACTTGTTTAACATTATGTTTCTTACAATTTCAAAATATTAACTTTTTATCGGGCTTGTTCTGCTGTCTTTTGTTTCTCCTGAATTTTACTCAGAGACATTTTCATAATAGTTGCAATTGCTTTGATGAATTGATATCTCTTGGAACTCTAACTGTAGTAATAGTTTAAAGGCTGGTTTGAATATGTGCTCTTTCATAGACTAACTGATGAATTCTGTCAGGAGCCTAGAGGATTTCCAGGCTGAGAAACATTTACAGTAAATTCTGAGTTTTTTGGATGGTGTGAATTCAGGCTTCAAACTCACATAAAGGACAGCTTGTGATCATAAATTCTCAAGAAGAATTTTTTCTTCCTCTATTCAACAGCAAGTTTTGATATCAACAATTTCTTGGAGTTCCTTGAGAAATAGGTTTATTTTTAGTCATGCATATTGAAGTTTGTGGCCCTTTGCAATCTCAGCTCTATGTAGGGGTCTCTCATTAGACTCCTCACTTTGGCTTTATTTCCTGTTTTCTCACTACCCACACATAAAAAGAATCTAAGATCAAATGTGAACTTGGTAGATACTTCAAGGTGAAAGACAGCTTTACATTTCTGTCTACCTCTCTGGGTACCTGCTTTCACTTCAGCCTTGTCCTTTGAGCATTTCTTCTTTTGTTTCCATTTATTGATGCACTTAACTGTATTTTCAGAGTTACAGAGAATTTTTTATTGGAAACTCAGGTCTCTCCAGTTTGCTTTTTGATGTTTTTGTATCTTAGATCACATCAGCAACAGAATGAGTTTTCATATAGCTGACTAAAACAGGTAACATCAGGGTTGCTTCAGAATCGGTCATTCTACTAAAACCCAGTCAAGTTTGAAGGCCCATTAACAGAGGTGTGATAATATCAAGGAACCATGATGACTCCTCTGAGCCTGAAATTGATACTTTTTTTAAGCTAGAAAGACAAACAAGGCAATTCAAAGAATTAGATTCAGATGAATAGTTAAAGCTTAAAATTTCAAGCAATCTCCCATTTAAAACTAACATAGCAGTGATAGAATCCTTTACTTTAAAATTAAGAAGTTTTTGATCACCCAGATAATATATAAATACATTATTTCCAGAAACACGTGGAAACACACAAAGGGTAAAGAACCTTGTGAGAACCTCCCCAATCCTAACCCCTCCATAAAGTAAACCAATGGTTAAAAACCCCAGAATTTCTTTATTCTTATTTATATTCACATCCATGTATAGAATTTGTTTTGAATTTTAGAAAAATATATAGGTGGCATAGTATTTTGCATGAAAACCATGTTTTTAGAGGTCTACTCTCTTAATAGTCTAGATGTACAATTCTCCATTTGATAATTGTGAAGACTTGGCTTCACTCTTTTCAAACTTCCAGACTTTCTATAGAGAAGCCAGACTCCATTCTGACTTTTGATTTGTGATCCATAACTTTTTCTGTAGAAATTTTTAGGAATTATGCTTTGTTTGTAATGTTCCAAGCTTTTGGCCTTACTGTGGCTCATTTTTCTCCTGTTGCTGGGCTATCAGTCTGGTCCTTCGGCCTGGTATTGAATGCTCTTTGGTTGTGAAAAGATTTCCTATCATGTATCTTTGATATATGATTCTCTCTTTCTGGTGTCCCTCGCAGTTGGAATTCAGTGCTCTGGGCACTTAGCTTTGTCCTTAATTTTTTCTGCAAAATCAGATCCATTTGCCTTCTGCCTTCTAATTATATATTGATATTTTTCTATATACGGTTATCTCCTCTTTCATTCTCATTGACTCTTTTTTTATTTTCTATTATTTTAGGAGAAACCATTTAGATATCACATCAGCAATTTTTCCCACAGAAATTACAAGACTCCTTAAGAATACTCATACACAATTTATATAAATATGTTCTATATTTTATAGTTTCTATGTTTTACATTATATACATATATGTAGATATATCATATGCACATATATTTTATATATTTAGAGATGAACATATGAGAGAGAGAGAGATTACTGCTGTCCATATATAAAATTTAAATTGCATCCAGTGCCTAATGAAATTCTTTTCAGTTCCGTGTTCTCAATCATCTTATAATCAGCAGATAGTTTTTTAATATTCAAATAGTTACAGGTAATTTCTTTCCATTGGTTGCACTGTAATTCTCTAATATGGAATATGTTGGGAGAAGAGGGTGGTTGGGGGTGAGGCTGGGAGAACCAAACAAGAGGGCTGGAGACTCACTGGTCCTACTACTACCGGTAAGTGGATCTCTCTGGCCTCTTTCCACATTTGCTAAGTGAAGGTGTCAGTTTGGCATATTTTAAAACCCTGTTCATCTCTTATTGTCTATATAATTTTTTTAAATTCTCTATTTTAGTTTGTCTGGGTTGGTAATAGCTCTTTTATCCCATGTTTGACAATTATAAATTTGACACGCTCATGGCCCATCAACACATTTGTGTGTGACTAATGCAAACAGCAGACCAAGGCACTAACTAGTCTGAACATGAGATGTCAGAAGTCCAGGGGGGAAATTCTCTAGTGAGTAAGAAAGAATAAATCTGGGAAAATGCCATTCCTGGACACTGAAAGTAATGAGAACAAAACCCTCAGGGTTATGGAATCAATTTGTCAATTAATATGCTTCCCTCCCCCTTTTACTTGTGTATAAATTAATAGAAGCTGAAAACAAAGGAACAGGGAGAGAAGAAGACTGGAACAAATTGATGCAATAGAATGGAAATTACATTTGCCTGCCATGTGCACAACAGAGAAGGAAGGCATGTGATTTGGAATCAAAGGCGACTGAGTTAACATAATGGACAAGGTACTTGAGTAGCTGGTGTGGAGATAGCTGTGCAACAAGACATTGGGGGGTGTGCTTGCTTGGGAATCTGTTTGCCAGTGTCACGGTATAAGGTTGTGCCTAGTAATATCAACATGTGTTTTGCCCCCAAATTAATGGGTTAACAAATTTAAGAGACAGGTAATGTGCATGGTACAAAATTCAAAGAGTACGAAAGTCTATTCAGGGGCCCCCTCCTATGAGATAGGCCAGAAAGCCAGGACAAGTGGAGTAGGGAAACTGAGCCAGAGGGCTGAACAAACCAGCTGAATAATTTACAGCCGGATACAGAAGGTCACCTCCCTAGAGATAATGTCCAGGCCTCAGCTGTATTTCAACTCCAGGCCCAGAAAAAGAGCAAAACCAGGTGGGCAGCACCAGGACCAGCTGCCATGACTAAAAAACCCACTGCCCTGCTACTGACCAATCACTGGAGACCACAACTATGACAGGGCACACCTGGAAAACTGATGAACATCCAGCTGAAACCCTCCCCTGAGACGTCCCCTAAGATTCTCACCTACAAGGGAGAGATAAAAACCCCAAGTAAAGGACCCAGCACATACTCTCCCTCTGAGGAGCAGACCACGCCATTCCCTTCCCCTCTTCTTCCCTCTCTTTTGGCACACATCTCCTAAACTCTAAGGGACCCCAAGAGACCTACAGCCAGGGGAGTAATGGGCAGAGGCAGCTCATTCCATGCTAACCCCGAACCTATTCCCATGGCCCCTTTCCTCTGACTTCCCAGTGAGCTAAAGCAGCCCAGACTAGGCTGTCTTGTTGCTTCTTATTGTTCTTCTTTCTTTAGATTTATTTATTTTTAGAGAGAAGAGAAGGGAAGGGAGAGAGAAAGAGGAGAAAAACACTGGTGTGAGAGAGAAACATCGGTCCATTGCCTCCTGTAAGTGCCCTGAGTGGGACTGAACTGATTCTAGGCATGTGTCCCGAATGGCAGGACACTCAGGCAACTGAGCCACACCAGTCAGGGCTTCCGTTGCTTCCTCTGTGCTAAGCCCTTCCTTGTCTCACTGTCCCCAGCTTTAAGAAACATACCCTCATAATCACCTGGGCTTGTGCTGTAAAACCTTTCCTACATGAAGAACCCGCACACTATAGGCTGGCCCTAAAAAGACCAGCTCAGAGCCAGGTTCCGTCTCTGGTAACATCCATATTGCATTCTAATAATTTTACTAACACTATGCTATTAAGAACCACCACTGGCTTCATATACACATTTTAAGGCAAGTATGTATCATGGATGGGTTGATGGATGGATGGGCAGACAGAGGAATGTAGTGCTACTTTTAAATCCACCACTGTTAGTTTTCACAAAAAACTAACCAATTTTCCATTCTGTTTGATAAGTGAATACTATAATTCCAAGATTAGAAATCTAGGTGATAAAATATTTCTCACTATGTAATCTCTATGTTTTCTAATTAACTTAGCTTTAATTTTTAGAGAGAATGTTGGTAAAGGCCCGGATCCTGGACAAAACAGTGGCAGTGATGGCCACTCTAGTTGTCTTTACCCATCATCTTGGGCTCTTGTAAAATATCACCTACTAGCACCTTTCACATTTTAGTTTGATGGTAAAACTTAAAAATGGAGGAATAGTAGAGATGTAAGTGACTACGTTTAAATGGACCAACATGCCAAAAATATAGTTAGGCACAAAGTTTAAAGGAGAAGAAAAAATTTTCTAAAATGCCCAGCTGAGCCCCAGTTCTGACGGTCATATCAGGGCATAGAGAGGACTTTCAGGTCACATGGACCTTTGTTGACTCTACACGCAGAAGCATACATTTCACCCGTGAAGACTTCTGTAGGCTAAATCTATGGAAATACCGCCAGCAAAGTGCTGTTGACAGCCAGTCCAATTAGTTTATCTGTTGGGAATATTTTATTTTAGAACTGATCTTAACGGAAGCATATCCTGAGCCTTACATATAAAACAGACATTAAAAAAAACCACAAAACAGATTCTGGTGATAGCTCAGCAGAATTGAGCACAAACTTCAGCCATGAAACAGCAAACATTTCTCTTTCTTAAATGTGAGTTTAAAGGCTCTGACAAAGCCTTTGGTAGAAAAATTATAAGAGAAAACAGGAAAAGGCTGGTTCCACTTAAGTGAGTGTGCCTTTTGCTCCCGGTGACCCAACCTTTACAAAACTGTTTGTTATTCATCGCATTACAAACATTTCTCTGTCACAGCAGGTGTTGGGTCAGGAGAGGACACAGTGTCCAGGAAACCTGCAATCAGGTTAGAAAACTCCCTGGTGACCCATTCCTTTTCAATTGACTCTGAGTGGCTGGCAGTGCCTGCCACAGACAGCCCCGAGCCGCCTGCCCCCGAAAGGCTTGTCATTTAAGCCACAGCAGAAACACTTCCCCAAACCACTCTCCCTGGAGGTGTTGGGGCTGCATTTCCAATGACAGAAAGGGAAGTTGTCCTAGCCTTTCAAGCTATTAAAGGAAATAGACTATTTCCTTAAGTTGCTTCAAAATTCCACATCCTCCAGTACTGATTTTAAAAGTTTCTTGCATGAATCACTCTCTTTGGGTAAAGTTCAGTCTTTCAAGGATGTCCTTCCCAGTTTTAGCTGCGCCAAATGGTGGCTGAGTCAATTATGGACCTCAGTGTCCATAACTGGGAGAAGTGAGAGAAGAGAAGATAGTAGGCTAAGCCTTACAAAGCTTCCCTCCATATCCTCACAGGTCTCTGCTATGAAGTGGCTGCTGGCCATTTGGGGTGACTGAATGGCAGCCACTGTTTGAGTGCCTGGTCCGGTCCTCTTGACCAGAGGAAGCTTCTTTGTTTTGTTCTTAGGTTTCCACCAGACCCCTAGCACCTACCACTTCCCGTTCCTATGGTACACAGGCACTTTCCTGTCCTTCTAAGTCTCACATGACACAGGGAGTCATGAGTCCTGTTGAGAAGCTTCCAGATTTTGGCCCGAAGAGTAGAAGCCAGAGAGTTGCACGCAAATCTCACTTCACGCTCTATTCTGTCTCCCCTTCTTCTTCCCACATTTCCTGGGGTTGGCAAAGGGGGCTTCCCTCTTCCTCTATGGCCATATTCCGAGTTCTCTCATTGTTGAATGTATATAGTAAACCTCTAGCCTCTCAGATCTGGCTTATGTGGTAAAAGAAGCAAAAGGAATTTGGAGAAATACCTTCTTCTCTTGAAATATCCATTTTTCAAGATTTCTGCCTCACTAATAAGGATCTTCTCCCTTAGGGAGTCCCAAGCTTTCCTTTCCTGGAGTCGTGACTCAGCCTGCAGGGGCCAGAGAAGGAAGGAGGATAGTTTTAAAAGGAAAAGAAAACATTTCCCTTTATTATGTGCAAAACTGTTTCACTGATGTACAAGACAGAGTGACATCTAATTACTGGATTTAGTAATTACTGCACAAATGTGGAAGCCTTTTAGTTGGTAGATGCTTTAGTGTAGTGGCCACGCAGACTGTGCATTCCTGGGTCAGCTCTGCAGTTCATGATGCATGTTGTGTGAGTATTATTGTTAATGTACTAAATATAAATAGCAAGAGAAAACAGCTTAACGTTTACACAGTGTCTGAGGAAACACTTCATTGTTGATAGTTTATGCTGCACACTCATTAAGATATTGCTCTTCCACTGAACACTGATTCATCACAGAAAAACACAATTCTGCCAACCATTCACAGTGAAAGCCATCTTGCCCTATTCTTCAGTGGCAATCATTTTATATGATAATCTCACGATGACCTAGACAGGAGCGTAAGTAAGAAGTGCTTGTTAATCTCTTCTCAAATGGATTTCTCGTTATTCCCTATGTCCCCCATTACTATCCCAGATTCCGGCTCTCCTTCAAGTCTAAATGTCTGAAGAGCCTATTCCTCGCCTCCTGCTCATTCCACTCTTACCTGGTTCCTACTTCTACCCTCCACTGACACGTCACCAATACCAAGGGCACCAGTGACCTCCTGGACACTGAAGTCAGGTCACTTGACCTCCTGGCCACTTTTCTGCGCCACTCAGTCGCTGTAGATACTATGGGTCACTCCCTTCATATTGGTGATTTTTTTCTTATTGGCTTTTCTGGAATTTCTGGTTTTCCTCCCACCTCACAGGTTGACCCTTTTCTTTTTCAGGCTTCTAATCCTGTATCAGGCCTCTTAAAATGAAGAATTATCTGAAAATAAGTCCTGAGACCCTCCTCTTTTTTCCCTCTATATGCCAACCATTTTATCCATCCTATGCTTAACTTCAATGTAGAGTCATAATTTTCAAAATTTTTGGCGTGTAAGTTATATCTGAAGAAAGAGTAAAAACTTCTAATCATTGAAGTTTTTTTACTTGTAGAAATTTCTCCTTCTAAAATCACTCTCATACCAGCCTCACACAATGCAATGTATTGAAAGGCATCCTAAACCCACAGGGCTTTAGTCAAAGGCAGGATGTGGTGCGGTGTCAACTGGAAGTGAAAGACCAGGGCAGGAAACCGAGTGCCCTGTGACCTTAGACAAGTCTCTCTAACTTCCCGGGTTTCAGATGGTAGAGTCCAGAGACATGATTTAATTGTACTTTTTATTAAAAGTAAAATGTGAATTCTGCCAAATGGCATTTCATTTCTAATGTCCGACCACCTCCTTTACACCTTTGGAAGTGCCATAAAAGGGCACAGTTGGAAAGAAGCGTTTCACGCAGAGAATAAAACTTAATCTGAAAGCTGTTATTTACCCCTGCATTTTTCTATTCCAGTTCATTTATTGTCACTTAAAACTTTTAGTGTTGCCTTAGTATTAGCCGAGGGTAGTATTAGCAGTGAGAGGGATATTATGTTACAGCTGAAGCAATTTTCAGGTAGAAATTGCTGAGTGGGTTAGAAAAATGTTATCCATGCTAGGTTTTGTTTCGGGGGGCGTGTCTTGCCTCTGAAATCTTTTACATGCAGGGCCTGAGAGTTCATAGCAGAGCAAGGCGGCATGGCATCTTTCTTGTGCAGGAAACACGGAATAAAAGGCTGAAAAAAGTTAAAACACCACTTTTCAACAGAAAGCTTTGTTTTGTTTATAAAGGGTGAGATGTTTTCAACTGTGGTAAGCTGTAATAGGAACTCTGCATTAATACTAGGGAAGCCCTATGCTATAAAACAGGAAGGTTCATGCTAATAAATACTTAATAGGTGGCTCTCCCAGGGCAGAAAAGAGCCTCACAGTGTTTGCTGGTTGCTGTGGTGTAAATATCCCCACGATGGCCAATGTCCGCTTGCAGAGTGACCACGTCCCATGAAGGGGGAGGGGGAGGTGCACAGCAGAACTCCGTTCTAGTGGCCACGCAGACACCACGGTTGCAGACTACCGAGAGGCCAGGCAACACAGAAATGTCTTATTAATCAGCAAGGGGTGAGTTTTGGGTATTTGGTACCTTTGTTTTTAATATAATTTGTTTAATAGTGAATTTACATAGTTTACTTTTTAATAAGAGCTGTGTCTAACTGCTGGGTCACAGAATCCCTGAAAGATATTAAAAAATGAGTCCCTGTGAGACAGTATGACCGGCTACTGCTCACCACTGGTTTCTCTTCAAAGAATAAAAAACATTAATGTTAAAATTTGCTTAAGCAATAGTTAATTACATTTGAGTTTTCAAAGGTGAACACTTTGCTGTAGGTGTTTTTATACTTGCTAATTTTCTATAACTCTATGTTATCTATCACCAGGTAAATCAAAAGCAGTGATTAAAATAATCAGATGCAAGATCCATAGATAATAGTTTTCCATAAATTTGTGTAAACTGGTTGTGAGATGTATATAAATCTCCTCATCTAAGAAATTTTTAAAAAGACATTTGATTCTTGAATGACATGGTTTATAGACTGAATTATGTCTCTCAAAATTCATATGTTGAAGACCCTAATCTTACAGAACTTGTGTCCTTATAAGGAGAAGAAGGCACACCAGGGCTTTCTCTCTCTTTGCCAAGTGCAGGTCAAGGTCATGTGAGGACACAGCAAGAAAGCACCACCTGCAAGCCTAGCAGAGAGGCCTGTCAGAAACATACCCTGCTGGCATCCTGATCTTGGACTTCAGCCTACAGAACTGTGAGAAAATAATTTTCTGTTAGTTAGATTACCCTGTCTGAGATATTTAGCTATGGCAACCCAAGGAGGCTAATATAATATGTAAATAATGAAATTACAAGCAATTCCACAGCAGTAACATGCTACGGGACCTCAGGCTTTATCATTATCGTCACGAGAAGTTCCTTCCTGTTTGCTCCTCTGCTTGATAAACGTCTGCTCAACTCTAGGTCAAGGGTTCCCACCTTTCAGAAGCTCCCCTTGGTTTAACCAAAAATGTGTCGGCCCTTCTTCCCTGCAGATGGCTCTGTTATAATGATGATCACAGCATTCTGTTTCAACATAGATTCTTTTTAGAAAGGTAAATTGCACATGAGAAATTGAGATTCAGCATGCTGCCTACCTTTGCTGCCTACTTGTTAGCCACTAGCCACATGTGGTTATTTACACTTAAATTTAAATAAAATAAAAATTCAGTTCCTCTGTTGCATCAGCCACATTTCAAATACTTAATAACCACCTGTGGTTAGTGGCTGCTGCATTGGACTTGCAGACATGGAACAGTTCCTTCACTGCGGGAAGTTCTGCTGCACAGAACTGCACTAGGCTGTGGGCAATTTGAGGTATTTGAGGGGGAAGCCTGTTGTTTTGTCGTGTGTGTGTGTGTGTATGTGTGTGTGTGTGTGTGTGTGTGTGTGTAGTTTTGTTTCCTAAGCTCCTAGCCCTGTGTCTATTGTACAGTAGGCATTCAATAAGTATTAGTTGAATTAATAAAAGAAAAAAACACTATTTACCTAGTTGTAGTCACTTAAAGCATTCATGGTTCCTGGAGACCACAGAAATAAACACACATATGTAAATTTATTTTTATTATTGACAAGTAAAAAAATAAAAATGAGCAATTTTCATTTCTCCTGGGATGAGAACACCAACACCCGTCTTTAAATATAATCATAGACTTCATCTCTCAGGTGTTAATACAGCAATCTATAGTTGTTCATTCAGAAGCATAATATCGATTCTAATTTATTTTTCTAGGTCATCTCTGCTCTGTTGTTCTATAAGTGACCCTATGGACTCATTAAATCTTGCAGCATGATATTTATGCAACCCTATTTAATGAGTCCTCCAACACCTTGAATTCTCTGGATCTCATACCTATTATTTTAGTGGCAAAATTCTGAGTTTAATTAACCGTATTCTTCATGGACTCAAAGGAGATCATAAAAAGGTCACCCAGCCTTACACAACTCTCTGCCGGCAGCTAGCCTCTTTGTTGCACACTTAAAGATCTCCAAGTGATACACAATCCCCTCTGGGGACTGACTCCAGAGCCCCTCACCCCCTTCCACATGGATAACAAAATCTGCAGATGCTAAAGTCCCTTACAGAAAATGGCATAGTATTTGCGCATAACCTACACATATCCTCCAATATATTTTAAATCACCTCTAGATTACTTACAATACCTAATGCAAGGTAAATGCTTTGTAAACAATTGCTAAAATATATTCTTTAGGGAATAATGACAAGAAAAAAGTCTGTACACCTTCAGTACGGATGCAACCATTATAGTCTAACTACACAGCACACATCAACAACATTAACTTTTTGTTTTCCTAATATTTTCAATCTGCGCTGCATTGAATCCTCAGCGGCGGGAACCACACATACAAAGAGCTGACTGTGTTTAGGTATTCAGATATTCCTACTCTCAGAAGTCTTTCTTGATTATATCTTTCATAGTGTAGCCCAAAGCAGATGCCCTCGCTCTGACTCCAGAGGAAAAGGGGGACAGGGTCATTCGTCACACGCTCTGGAGAAGCCCCTTCCTGTGCTATGACTGAGATTTAATTCAATCTAAAAGGAGACATTGCTCTCTCAATATGTTCCTTTAGGTTTAGTAACCTCAGGGGTAAATACAGAGGCTGAGTAAGTAATATTTAAATGAATAAACAAAAACCCTAGAAATAATTGCTTAACAACAAAAAAAGAAAATAGACCCTGTATACCCAAAGCGTACCCTAACACCTTTCTTATATAATTCAGCCCACGTGTTTTCAAGTGGGAGAATTGGGTTTTACTTAATAAGGATGCTGTACCAGGGCTGGAGGAAGACAAGGATTTAAGAGGGGAGTGTGGAGAGATGAGGGAGGAAAGGGGATCTCAAGGGAAGCAAACCCATTTTGTCTGGCTTGAACTCAGCACCCACATGTAAAAGCTGGATGGCATGTGGGTGGAAAGAAAGACAGGGAGGAGAAATGGCAAGACTGGGAGGAGGCGAGGGTATCTGTCCTCAGTCCTGATGCTTTAGGGCAGCCATGGACAGGGAAGGTTACATCAAAAGCATTTTCACCTATATGCGTGGGTTACCGCAGGGCTCACAGTCACCCTCTCTGCTTGGCTGTGCTTCCCCACTGGAGGAGATGAAGACAGAAATCAGCTGCCTGCTTCTCAGTGACAGGAGCTGCTGGCTGCCAGTAATAGCTTCCTAGAGGTAGGTTCTGTCTTCACAGGGCTGGAGATTTCCCAGCATCTAGCCCTGGGAGACATTCTTTCTCTAAGACATTTGTTAGGAAACAAAGGGTTTTGAGAAGCTTGAACATCTTGCCTATGATGTTTAATTCCTCTCGCTGTCGTGACCAGTTTTGGGGCTAAATCCCTGGCAAGATTTGGTTGTGGCATTATAGAGACTGGGGTATGCCACCAGCAAATAAAACAGCATTTGGTACACGGGACTGGCAGTTATCCCTTGTCACCACGCAGAGAGAGCTGACCAGAGGGGCTGGTATTCTCTCCATTCTATAGATGAAAATACTAAGGCCTGGAGGGCGGACCCTTACAGCTTACCTACCTGTGAAATGTGAGAAAGAGATATCACACCCTTGACACGTACAGTATATAATCATGGCCTCAGGTATTTACTAAGAAAGCTGAAGGACACAGGGGTCCTCAAGCTTTGGTGCTTCTCTATTTCACTTAGTAAAGTTCATTAACTTTTGGAACCCTTGTTTCCTCAAGTGCATCATGGCAAGAATATGATAATATGTGTGATGTGATGTGCTTTGAAGATGTTTGACAAGATAGTGTGAGTGCTCACTAAATGTTAGTCGTTACAGTTTTCATTATTTAAGTGTCAGGGAAAATCATTTTAAAATGCCTTTCTATGAACTCTAATTGCTCTTTATTATTTTAAAGCAGACAGGGATTGTGTTTTTGCTCTTTTTTTTTGCTCCCTACTGAAATTGGCAGAGCCTATAATAAAGCAGACACTTAAATATACTTGGCATAAATGTATAATTCCCAGTGCTCCAGCATCCGTATTTTTAGAAATCGGTCATTCTACAGCTCTTTGTAAGAGGTGTATGTAAGATTTATACATAAACAAAGTGAGCAAACACCCTTTTTGTTTGTTTTTAATCTTGTTTTCTAGTAACTGGTATTTATTTTAAAAACAGAAGTTACCCAGGTTAAAAAAGGTGATTAGCCTGCTCAGCTTCACCTATTAATCTGTAGCCAATAACAATGAGGTTTGCATTCACAAATTAAAAATGTGAAATTTCAAGTATTTATGCAATGACTATTCTTGGGATCAATCTTAGAGGAAAAAATCTTTTTTTTGACAAATATGTGATGTCTTTTAACACATTCATGTTAATTAAAAATTTTAAAAAATTTTGATATTCAGTTACAATTGTCCCGCCTTTTCCCCTACTTGCTCACCCCCACCCCGTCTGCCCCCCCAGCTCCCACAGTCAACCCCCCATTGTTCATGCCCACAAGTCCTCTATCCATGTTCCTCGGCTCATTCCTTCCTCTTCTTCCTCCCTTTATCCCCCTCCCCGCTCCTCTCTGGTCACTGTCAGTTTGTTCTTTATTTCCAAGTCTCTGGTTCTATTTTGCTCATTTGTTTGCTTTATTTTCAGCTGTAGTCCATCCATGTAGCTTTTTAAGGTGAGGAAGAAACATTTGAGGAAATATTAGACTTGGCACAAAATGTACTGTTGGGAACCTTACACCTGGCTTCTAGCTAAAAACATTGCATTGATTATAGGAACCTGTGCGCTCCACGAGCCAATCGGCTACAGGTACATGAGGTGTGCATGCCCTCCACAAGCCAATCAGCTACAGGCACATGAGGTGTCCACAAGTACCAGTTGCACCCAAGTAATCAATAAGCGGGCCCTTCTTTGTCTCAAGCTAGCCAATAGCAAGCAACCTAATCTCTCCCTCCCACCACCCCATATATATATACCCAGTTCGGAAAAATAAAGTTTGCAGCTTGATCAGAATCTTTTGTCTTGCTGCCATTCTTCGTGCCTCTTGTCCCCCCAACTCATTTGTTCTAGGTAGGTGGTCGAGCCCCAGTTGATTGCTCCGCGGGTCGGAGCAATGTACTTTTCATATACTGCTATGAAAGAATAACTCTTTATTCTTTTTCAAAGATAAAATTACTGTTTTTCTTTCTGTTTTTGAAATAAGGCCTATTTTCCCACAGAAAGTGTGAAATTGGTTTATTTTTATGTTGCCTTTTCTGTGTGGGAAGCTAAAGGAACCAAAGTATGTGATTGAAGATTTTTTTTAATATCCAGGAATTGTGATAATATCTATCTCTTTGAAAAATAAATATGTTTGCTAAGCAGAAAACTCAGTTCCGTTCTGAAAGATGCAAGTTGTGAACCAGCCATCACAAGCCTGATCGAGCAGAGGGCAAAAATCTAACATCCATGTTCCTATTGCATTTATTTCAAAAAACAACACCCAATTCCTATATCCTGAGCTCCACTGTCATTTACCTCCTCTGAGAGAATTTAATATTCTACCTGCGACAGTAGACGCTTCGCAATAACTTTCAAAAATACCAAGACAGATACCAGTGCAACAAAATCCAATGATGCTTATAAGCGATGATTTAAGAGAAAGCCGAAATATTTATAGCCAAATGAAGAAGACATGTTCAAGGTCTTGCTGATGCCTTCCTGAAGAAATGAGCATCACTCACCTCTCCTCTGACCCGACTTCCAATGTGGGCTTGATCACAAGGTCCCCAGGGAGCAAGATGCACTGGGAGGATGTGGACAGAATTCAGCTATGACTCTGCTCCCTAATGACACTCTCTGCCTCTCTCTTACCATTGGCATAGTCAGAAGTAGACAATAAAGAGCTATCAAAGGGTCAGGCTCATAATTAGGCAAAAAAAAATTAAACACAATAAAGCACCACAAAGGCAGACGAAAGCTTGTCCTTCCAGCCGAAAGGTACATGTGCACTAGATCCTTGCCGGGCAGATGCGGTCCATGGAAATGCGGTGGCAAGGGCATCCCCTGGGAGTCAGGTGGAAATGCAAACCTCAGGGCCCACCCAGGCCTCCTGAATCTGTATCTGCATTTTCACTGGATCTCCAGATAATTCATGCCATCATTACAGCGTGAAAAATCATTGTTTGTGGCAATTGACACAGAGAAAGAGGAAGAACTTACACTTGTTCCAGAGTAAAATTGATGTTTTCATGAATTCTTTGACATATTTCTAAACTACCCTGCTTCACAGATCAACAAGTGCTTAAAGACAAAACCATTATCCTCACTGTAAAACTCTAGTTTCAATACCTCAGAACAGAAGTTTGTTTTTTTTTTTGACCACAGTAATGCCTGCCTCTTTTCTCCTAATATGCACACCCATTAGAATGGGTTTGGCCACTTCTTATTAGCAAAAGAAATACAATAGATTTCATGATGTGTCTCCTGTAGCGAGTTAAAGTCTTCTCTAAGTTTCAAGTTTCATTTTGCTCTAACCAGCAGCCATGGACACAAGCATCCCTATTATCTGGGCATTTATAAGAGCTCTAAATTGCAGAGAATCAAGAAATTCTGAGATATCCTCTTAACTCAAAATGCCACGTGGGAATACAATGATTTTGGTTTGATTTTTTAAAAGGAAGGTGTCATACATTGAGTGGAATGGGTCAGGAAGACTCCCTGAAAGCTAAGTTAGCCCCACTGGATTTTGAGATAATAAGGCTGTGGGAAACCAGTGCTGTGAGAGGTGGAAACTTAATGTTTCAAATGTGGAAATAATTGTGTAAGTGTAAGAGAGAAAGACCAAGGTCAAAAGGGGGGCTGATTTTGTAAATTGAGAAACAAAGACAAGAAAGGGGAGAAAGACAATATGTAAGAATGGAACTTGTGTCAAAAGAGAAAGAACAATGATGAAGAAATACATGCCAGAGGAAGGCAGGTAGAGGTGTGAAGTGCCTTGTGAGTGTGGCTGGGAACTGGAGCAGGAAGATGACGGGACTGTGGAGAAAGGCGGGGGTGAAGAACAAAGGAGCAAGTCCATGATGCCTGTCCACGGGATGGCCACGCGCCACCCTTCTCTCAGAAGCGACCCCTCCCATCCAGTCCTACCTGGCCGGAAGGACGGTGGTCACCACTTGAGAGCTTGAGGGTTGGGGGGAGTAAAGTTGGGGGAAACAGAGGGATCCTCATGGCAACTTTCCGACAAGAATGAGGAGGAACCGTCCCCCTGTGTGAAGAAAAAGGGAGGCTGTCATTTTGGTGGCATTGAAATTAATCCCTAAGTCATCTGTTTTTTCAAACTATTTAACTGGGGGTTTTCTTGGAGTGCCTTCTAGGATGGAGATTCAAAGCCTCCAGCTCTTTTATCTTGTCCAACACTCTGCACCACACATGCAAGGGAACTGGCCACTGGACTCTCCTTGGTTCTTCCCTGCTGTCTGCAGGTATTAGATGTTAAAGATGGTCACAGCTATCACTTTTGAGAAATTCTCCACAAAATTCTACTACTGTCAAGAAACCCGAGAAAAAAAATGTACTGAATTACTGACAGCAGTTAACAACATAGCCCGGTGAGTCTGGGCTCAACGGCTGTGCCGTCTCTCTCAAAAACAGAAAACTATTTCTTTTTCACACACAAAGTTAATTTTGTTAGCTCTCTACGTAAGTCATTTGTTCAAAATCTACATATTAAGCACCAACTATGTGCCAGGAATTGTTCTCGGGTGCCCAGAACTTGAGGGCATCACTGAACGAAGTAGTCAAAGCCCCTGCCTTCATGGAGATTACATTCTACTGGGGAAGGACCCACTCTTAAGGAAGAAGTAAATGACCTAACAAGAGAAGATAATAAATGCTGTGAAAACCAGAAAATAGGACAGAATAAAAAGGAGAGGAGATGCCAGGGATGGGACAGCAGTGGAGGGGGTTGAGAATTTAAGTGAATTGGTCACTGACAGTGTCTTAGAGAAGTTGGATTTCAGCAAAGACCTGAAAGGCAGAAGGGAGTTATCCAAGCAGACACTTGGCAGATGAGCATTGTGGGCAGAGGAAATGGTCCACACAATAGCCCACAGTGGGAGTATCCTGGCTTGTTGGGGCCCAGGGAGTAACCCAGCATGGCTGGAGCAGAGAGGTCAATGAGGGGACAAAGAGAGGATGCAGCAGAGTGAGATCAGATCACATTGGACCTTGTAGACTGTTATTCCGAGAGAGCCTGGAACCATGGAAGGGTCTGGAACAGAGGAGTGAGCTGACTTATGTTCTACAAGGATGACTCTTGCTGCCATGTTGGGACTAGACTGTGAGTGCGGACACGTGGAAGCAGGAACCCAGTTAGGAGGCTATTTAGAAGTCCAGGTGACAGATGGCGGTGGCCTTGGCTGGGGTGGGTGCACGCAGTTGGCACACTAACAATTATAAAGATGTGTCAAATGATTCATAATAATTAGCAAGTTTGGGGGTTTTTGGTTTCGTCTGAAAGAAAGACACAGTACTAAGAATTGCGATATCTGGTTATCTATTTCCCAAAACAGAAACATTTTTCTTTTTTTGTAATAATAGGAAAGACTCAAAGAAGAGGAGGAGGTAGAAACACTGAAGCTAGAACATAATGTATTTCACATTTTCTATACATCACTGAAAACACATACATGCTGCCGGCTCTCCTCACAGACACGAATCTCCATACACTAGCATAACTAGCTACGGCAAAATCCATTCTGATGCCAACCCCATTAAACACACCACCCTTTTCTCCAGTTGTGTACAGTTGACAGTGGTGTGTACAAATATGTTTGCGCATGTGCATATGATGGCCACAGAGGGTAGCTACTGAAGAATCCATACAAACCAACAGAAACATCATGAACTGTTCACTTTTCTATCACAGATTTTGATAAGACTCTGAAATATGAAAACATTATTTGAACCGTGGTTTTATCTACAAATTACAAGACCTCTTTGTTAAATTCAAAGACTCTTCTCAGCCAATGATAATAATAAGTGCAGAAGACTTGTGTCAACTGAGTTTTGTGGACAGAAATTGGATAAGCAGGACTCCAGGTAGTAGATTTGGTAAACTAATTTGGCCTTAGGCATAACACATGGAAAACAGAGAAGGTGAATTTTGCTCTTAGGATAGTTTTCCTATTTTGGACTGAAACTTTCTTCAGTGTTTCATCTTTCAGCCCAGTGGTCCTACATTTTACAACAGCCTCTTCTCCATGTCTGTATACTGCTTCCTTTAAAGCACCTAACATTCTTTCTCTTCAGGATTCTACAGGCAAATATTTTTCTCAGTTTGAGTTTGGCCAGTCTCCCCCTTACCATGTTGAAAGCCATAGTAAAATCAGGTGGTGGTTTCTTTAGATCAATTAAATTTTTACATTTTCTGCTCTAAAAACTGTTCAGGGTATGTGTATTGGACTATTTTCACTATCCTTGTCATACCAAAGCAGGACATTAAAAACAAATGAGAGATAATGGGAATAAAATATCTCATTAGTATTGGCAAAATGACGGGTACATACAAAAAAGTCCCGGTGTGTGTCACAAAGTGGAACACCCTGAAATAAACACTCACATTGTGGCTGACTAAATTTGGTCTCCTACCAAATACAGACCAGCTGGACAGAAGTTCTTGGTCCATGTGGAAATGAGATAGTTTCGATTGAGGCATATTGTCAGATGACTGTCCTGCTGCAGGATGATAGATATGCTGGGAACTTCAGCTGACCCTTCCACGTCATGAGCGCATAGTTGAGTGACAGGTTAGAGAGGTGCACTCTGAATTAATCTTCATCTGCATCTTGCTCTAAGTCTAGCCAAACACCCTGACACATTAGAACTGTTATCTTTCAGGAATGGATTTTTAAATTTCTCTTGTTATATTTTCTTATACTTGTTTTTCACTTTTAAAGGAGTGGTTTGGTTACCAAAAGCTTAGGAACTTATACAAATTGTGACTGGGGTTCAGAGCAGCTCAAAATAGTAGCAGAAATCAGAGATGTAAAAAGAGCTTCTTCCCTGTTTAGGTGGAGGTTAGGAACACAGAACACATTATTATGTTAGTTAAATAAGTGGATGAAGAGGAAGTAAATGCTAAGATTTGACAATATGATAAAAGAAACTGACAAATGGGAAAAATATGATGCCATGTGGTGTATATTTTTGCTGTAAGCAAAAAATTAGCCATTATTGTTTTCTATTTGAAGGAGGGACTCTATTCCCCTCAGTAAACTCTGGCAAGATTTGGCTTGCTTTCCTCTTTATGAGAAGGTTGCAACTGTCTTTCATATTACCCACTACAGCCAACTCAATTTCCTTGCCCAACATTCATTGATGGAACAATTCAAAAATCACCAAATGTCATAAAATCACCCAGCCTTTACATTTTTCTGACTGAATGGAACTGATTCAGTTATGGATAGTGTTGGTCAGGTTCATTTTCTTGAGTTGTTCCTCTGTCTATTGTTTTTCTGCTTTTGTTGATTTCCCTCATAATCTATGCCAAGCCTCAAAGGCCATCCCAAAACTGAATGTGAAGAGGAATTATTTTGAAGCCAGTGCTATTTTGTTTCTGGTCCACGTCCAACAAATACAGGAGTGTGCTGACTGCTAGGCTGGCTTGGTCTTTCATTTGCCTCTGTTTGCTGTCCTGTGCTTTGATCCTTCCCCACATGGCCTACACTTGATCTTATTATTTTACTCCAGTATTTATTATTGCGCCTTCTCTTCATGGTCATTTCCCTTTATTAGCTACCATGTCCTACAGTATTAACAGTCATTGCGCTTGTTACCAAAGCCATGGTTCCAAAGCCCAACATTTTTAAGCCCTGAAGAACACCTCTTAATAAATGCTGTAGTTTGACGTGGAACCAACAATCTTCAAGAGCAACCTTCAAATCCAGACACCGTAAGATGGTCATAAGAACAACCTCATGGATGAAAAGCAAAGAGATATCATACTGATTGCGATTTACAGTACAAAAATGAAGGCAATGTAATTACTATAAATTCACAGAAACACTTCAGATCCCTTTCCAAGAGGCCAAGAAAGACATTTTAAAATTGCTGTAAACATGCATACAACATTAATTATGTACCCAATTGCTATCTATTTCTTTGATAAGAAAACAGTGAAGTTCAAGTACCTGGTGACCATAGAACTGAGGAGAAGCTGGACACCTTTCACCTTTTTATGTGAGCCTTAATTACTCCAAACCAATCATAACAATTACACTCTCCTACACATCACCGGATTAGGGAAGGGCCTGTGAGGGAACTCCAGCCAATGAGGGGAAGCCAACTGGGGAGATGCAGGAAGGTTTTCCCCAACCTATAAAGGACAAAGGCATTGCTTTTTCTGCCCTTCAGTGGTTTTATGTAGGGTTGTGGTGCCTGGAGCTGCGACAGTCATCTTGTGGCTATGGCACAGTGGACATGATGCAAATACCTGGATTTTGATGAGGTTGTCGAGCCACCAAACTGACAATTCCTCTAACTGCAATACCTCTGAACTTCCAGTAATGTGACTCACTGAGTTTTATTTTTAAGCCAATTTTCATTGGTTTTTCAGTAAAGCTGTTGTTGAATAATAAATTGTCTAGTAGTTCTTAGTTCTTCTAATGTTCAGTTATATCCAATGAAGGTGTTTAAAAGGTGTTTCAACACTTGCTAAAGTTGTTTTGAATCATGTTGACCTACAGCATAATATAAAATCTTTGTAGGGTTATTTATTGACAGTTACACAATTTAAACATATTTGTGATTCCATTTTATCTATGAGTAAAATTGTTGACATTTTGGGGGACCAAAAACAAAACAGCAAAATAAGACTCTGTAGGAATAACAATATTTTCCAAGACCGATTTTTTTTAGAAATGCAAAAACTGGCTAATGAGGTATCAACCATAAGCTAAGGATATTATGTCAGTGTACAAAGTAACGACAAATTTGAATTCAGACAACATGGATTGAAAATGTATATATTTGAATATATCGCCTGGAACTGACTATTGTTAAGGTGTATCTTAATTTTTTGTTGAACCTGAATCTTCTGCTCAAGATATTTGAATATTTTTAGAAGATCAATCCTAAATGGAAAGCAAAGTAATTTCTAAAATCATGTTAAAATATATTTCACTTTACTAATGCATAATAAACAAGAGGGTGGTTAAGAACATTTAAATTATATGCTTATATGAAAAAACATAAAAATTAGTAGCATATCTAAGTAATGATTAATTACTGCTTGAGAATCTGTATCACCCAATGTAAAACTTTAGGAGTCAAAAATATTAAATGAATGTTGTAGGTGATAAATATGAAAAAAAGAGTGGAAATAACCCCCAAATATATTTAGAATTAACCACAAGAAATCTATAAGAAGTAAATTAATGAACGGACTATATAATGAAAGATAGTGAACATTTTTGAACTTTGTAGGTTTAAAAAGTACTTTCATGAAATACCAGTAACTTTTAAAGCTGATATTTGAAACTGACGATCAAAGAACAGAAAAAACAAAAAAGCACATTTTTCACAAACAGAAACATATTCCTTGACAAATCAAAATGGATGGAATGATCTAAAATTGAGATGCTGTCCGCCAACTTAAAATATTTGGCTTATAGATACTCACTTTGCTTTTGACCAATATACAAACAAAAGTAATTCTAAAGTGGAACCCCAATGAACTGTTATTATAGGGGAAAAAGATTTGCTTTTTTCTTCATTATGAGAACGTTTTGCTAGATAAAAACCACCGTGATGTTGGTGCAGGACATCCTCTGCTGGACAGAGTCTGCCATTACACTATTACATTAGACATTAAAAGCTGAAAGGTTTAGCTAATGTCTCAATTCTGTTTTGGTCGGGGAGAGGGGCCAGGATTCTTTAAACATACTTATGCTTAATCCACCCCACAGAACAATTAAAAGCAGATCTCCAGAGTTGGGTTCTGGGCATTTGCTGTTTTGAAACCTCACCAGTTGATGATAAAGGCCCATTGAGTATTGCTGTAAAGATTTTTCACCACCATTGGAAAAGATACCTAAATTTCACATGTGAGATATAATCTGAGACTGTGGGCAAAGTGCATGAACTAGGGAGGTCTTATTGAATGGGAAGAAATGGAATGAGTGTGTGTTATTATTCAGTTCCGTTTACCTTGGGCTTTTCATCCAGGATCTGCTGACGTATCTCCTTGTGTTTCTCTACGAGTTTTTCTTGCCGTTTACTTTGTGCCTCTTCTAACTATAAGAAAGTTACAAAGGAAGTCACTATCATCTAAATGTCCAAGTGAATGTTTCCAGAAAACATGACAAGCTGTTCAGACCTGTGGCGAACATTTCATTGTTTCATGCCCTGGTCAGGGACTGCCCTTACAGGTGCTGAAACTGTGAAGCATTGAAGCTGGGTGATGGGGACACAGGGGTGAGGGCGAGTGATTGACAGACTACACGGTTCTTACACTTTTGTTAATATTTGAAAATGTCCATAATAACAATGTTTTAATTTGAAAAAAATATAGTGGACTCTGGAGGCTGTCACCTTTTCTACCACTGATGACAACTAACGCTATTTTGGGGAAATCTCCATTCCATGTCATGTTTCCGGGTTCCTGACTTGGATGTGGTTCTTGACATCTACCTTTCAGCGAACCTTTTTGATACAGGTTTGCAATTAAACTTGCAGAAACATTGATTAGGGAGTATCTGCTCTGTGAAACAGTGCTTCTCGTTGCTGGTGGTAAATTGCTGCAACGAGACTTGTTGTTTTCCTCCGTAGGCTCACAGTGTGCTTGTCAAACATTCACACATGGTTTGCAAAGGAGATAGGGATTAACTGGTAAAATGAAACAGCAGGCACAAAATGGAGTCACTTCCGCTAAGCCCCATGAAGACTTAATATTTAACCTAATTGCTATGTCAGCCTCTTCCATGAATGAAATTTTACCCAGTCGGGAACGCCAACCTTAGTAGGGTCATCTGCCTGATAAACACCCAGCCTTCCCCTAAGTGAAGGTGACCTTACCTGTCATAATCCACTCTTTAATCTCCTTTTCCCACCATCTCCCTGCCTATGAAACCTTCTACTTCATACAACTCCACAGAGCAACCTTCTGTTTACAAGGTGGGATGCTGCCTGGTTCATGAACCCCCCTCCTGAATTAGACCTTCACATTTACATGGTTGAACTTCTGATCTTTAACAATCTACATACCCTCTTGATGTACTGCACCACTTCCTGAATGTATGACCGGATCATCTCTGTCTTCTCCCTAGAAGAAAATAAATAAATCGTTGTATGAACACATCTGGCATCGAGAAACAGGAGGGTCTTGGACTCCCAAGTGAAAGTTTACAGAAGTCTAAGCATTCTTATTACAGCTGTGGAGCAGGTGTGATACACCAGCTTTGGACAAAGGTCAGGTTCCACCCAAGGGCGACCTCTGTTTCCACTAAATGCTGGGGAGTCTGCCTGACATTATTAGAAGTGAGTATTTAGCCTTTTCCTGAGGGACACTCTTTAGTCAGTATTTATCTACAAGGTCCTTTTCTGAACTGCTCTTTGACTTTTGGGTTGCAAACCTCACAAAAAGGATCTTTTGAAAGGTTAATTAGAGGAGATATTTCACAGATGGGGTCCTTATGGTTGAGAACCTGTTATTCTGTTACAGGATAAAATAACCCCCAGGTAAAAGGTAGAGAAAAGGGCTCTTTCTCCTTACTCTTCCATCTGGCTTTTGTCTTTAGATTTAGCTTCTGTTATCTTCTCCTGCCTCTTTTTATCCATTTTCTTCTTTAATTCCTTCTTTTCTCTGAAGTCAAAATGGAAGTAAAAGGGGGAAAAAAGGCGAATCAAGTGGCAGTTGGTATTTAATACATTGACACACACAAGTTCATTGTGATGAGAATGGAGGCTTACTTCTCACAGATCTCTTTGAGCTTCTTTAACTGATTGTTCTGACATTCTTCAGCGACATCCGTCAATTTCTGAATAAGCTGGGAACAGAAAATGCCAGTTCGCTGTTTTACATTATCACAGACAAAGCACCTTGTCCCTCTGCTCCCTCAAACATTATCTGTAGTTATAAAATCTCCCATTGATATTCGACAATAGTTAGCATTACCAGATATTTATCATAGGCAATGAGGACATAATGTAAAGCCATCATATTATCCTGATCTTAATGAAATTCCTCTTATCTCTTTTTACTTAAACAGGGCTCCTTAGATGACTGCGCTAGGTACAGCAACTTGGCCAGTGTGAAAACAACAGTGAGGACCCAGGTTCCAATCCCCACTCCGTGGCTTATCAAAAGTATGCTTTCGGTCAAGAAAACCTACATTTTCTTGGTTGTAAATGAAATTATTAATGCCTTCATATTTTGGAGGTACTGTGCAGTTAAGGTAAAATGAGCATGATGCAAATGTGAGTTATAATTAACTGTGAATTACAATTCTTGGTTTCCAGCTATCATTTATTGTTTAATTGCTTCATGGACGATACGAGTTGCCCATCTTAGAAACCAATGGTTTGTCCTTGTGTGGGTGACTCCCAAAGAACATCAGAAATTCTCTTCTGTGCTACCACAGAACTTTTAATATATGGCCATGAAAGCAATTTTTTTCCCATCTATTTTCTCATCAAACCAAGCTTTGTTGCGCAGCAACTGTGTTTTCCTGTCCTCAGTGCTCTGCACAATTCCTAGTATTCAGCAAGTGCTCCAAAAATGCTTGTCAATTATGTGAGGGCCAGTTTGCCTTACAATCTCTTCTCTGCTCATTCCATATAAAGACTGTACACAACCTTCTCTCATTGCTTGGGAACAGTAGCAACTGGATTCAGCCCTTCTCACTGGACACCAAATGGACAGTGTGGGCTTCCTGTGAAAAGGCCCCGCTGCAGTTCCCCAGAGACAGAGATTCTCAGGTACAGCAGGGTGAGTGGGCGTTTCCTATAAGTTTCCTATAAGCTGTAGCCACCACAGTGACAGGGCAATACAATCAAAATGTCAACAAACTTTCATTGATAATGTATTAACTTATTCAGTTCTAATAACTGCCCTAGAAAGTTGGCGCTGGTATCATCCTTTTATACATGACAACTCTGGGACACCCGGGGCTCCAGTTCCTGGAAGGGGGCCACAGAGGTAGTGAGCCACGGACCTGGTTGCAATCTAGACAGTCAGGCCTGTGGCCTTTACCACTTCCCATGCCGCTGATCACAATACCTGATATCAAACTATCCTCCAAGTCCAATGCAGTCAAAACAGCCTGGTACTGGCATAAGAGAAGGCATATAGATCAATGGAAAAGAACAGATTGCCCAGAAATAAACCCACGCCTAAGCATCAATTAATATTTGACAGAGGAGGCAAAGGCATACAATGGGGTAAAGACATGGTCTTCAGAAAATAGTGCTAGGAAAACTAAAATGAAACTAGACCACCAACTTACACCATATACAAGAATAAACACAAAATGGCTAAAAGACTTAAATGTAAGTCATGAAACCATAAAGATCCCAGAAGAAAACATAAGCAGTAAAATTCATGTATCTTGGGTAGCAGCATTTTGGCTGATATATCTCCTGAGCCAAGGGAAACAAAGGAAAAAATAAGCAAGTAGGATTCTATCAAATTAAAAAAGTTCTGCACAGTTTCTCATTCTGATTTTAGAAGCTGTTTTAAAAGACCACTTCTCGCCCTGGCTGGTGTAGCTCAGTGGATTGAGTGCCAGTCTTCGAACCAAAGGATCACAGTTTGATTCCCAGTCAGGGCACATGCCTGGGTTGCATGCCAGATCCCAGAAAAGGACACATGAGAGGCAACCATACATTGGTATTTTTCTACCTCTCTCCTTCCCTCTCCCTCTAAAGATAAATAAATAAAATGTTTTTTAAAAAGCATTGTTTTTAAAGCAAAACAAAATATTAAAAAAATAAAAGACCACTTCTTAGTCAAGAGAATAAAAGAAGTTGAGGGAGAAATTCTCTTATAGGACTGCATTAAAAAAACCCCAGAGTATGAGGTGTATTACATCTGGGCAAACATGCACTGGGGCTTGGGCCAGCAGAAAACCTCTGTGATTACTGAAAGAGCACTGACTGATCCTGATCCTGACCGTCACAATTTAAAAAATCATGAACTATTACAGTGTTGTAGATCCATTCATCAAGTTGTCTGGCCATTTAATTCGGTGTGCAAACACTCAGGAAATTTGCTTGGGGATTCCTGCAATGCCGCCATTCTAGCTGAGGGCACACACTCAACGCCTTTCCTTCCCCAGGGGCTTTCTCCTCTCCAATCCTCCCCAAGGTGTTACAGGGTGTGACCCAGGGATCCCCAACTGTGGTTGCAACTGTGGGCATTTCTCCACAGTTCAGATTCCAGGACCTGTTCCTAGATGTATGGACTCCGAATGTCTAGGGGCAGGGTTGAGGAATGAGTATTTTTAAAATCTTCTCAGATGATTTGGACTGTTTGCCAGATTAGGGGGCTTTTGGTGGGCTTGTCCTCATTCCACAGACTGTTCATTGCTCTATCTTCCAGAAATGCTGTCAAATCCAGTGGCGTTCACAGTTCTGTTTCCATGATGCCATCTCTATCATTCATTGGACTGCAGAGTATTTTTTTGATTCTGCCAGCACCTGCTCACATTTACTGCATTCCTTCCACCTCCTGCCCCTCATCTCAACAACATCGGGATCCAGTCAACAAAGCAGGAGTTTAAGACCTCACAGCCCTCTGCCCACTCAGTTCTGAGTCCTATTCTGGTTTGGCTTTAGGGCTCATGCAAAGGCTCCCTTGGGCTCCACAGATGATCCCTGTCTCTGGTGTCCCCTGGACTTCCTCTGTGCCCCACCCATTGAGACCACTGTGCCTGCTCTTTACTCTTCTCAGAACCAGTTCCCTCTTCCCTTGTTCCCAGAACGCATACCTTTGTCTACACTATTCAGTGTAGCCACAGCCCAACAAATATTTATCAAGCACCCACTAATCCCAGGCATCATCCTAGAAACTCTGAGGTGATGTCCAGGCTTTCTAGATCTTGTTACTCAAAGTGTGGGTGTGGCTGTGGACCAGCAGCACTGGCATTGTCAGCGATCCCATTAGAAATGCAAATTCTCAGGCCCCAACACAGACCAACTGGAAATCAAAATCCTATTTTGGAGATCAAAAATAAGATTTCCAAAACCAAAATGGTATTTTAACAAGATTCCCAGGAGATACTTGTGCACGTAATGATTTGAGAAGTACTGTCTGGATTATTAAGATGTAAACAATTTAGAAGAAGCCCTCTGCTATAGACCAAATGCCTGCATCCCTCACCCTGAAGTTCCTGTATTGAAATCCTAACCCCCGACGTGATGGTGTTGGGAGATGGGGCGTTTGGGAGGTGATTCTGTCACAGAAGTGGAGCCCTCATGAATGGGATCCACGCCCTTACAAAAGAGGCCCTACAGAGCTCCTAAACCCTCAGCCATGTGAGGACACAGCGGGAAGACATCCATCAATGAACCAGGAAGTGGGCTCTCCCGAGACACCAAATTTGCAGGTGCCTTAATCTTGGACATTCAGCATTCAGAACTGTGAGAAATAATCATCTGTTGTTTAAGCCACTCAGTCTACAGTGACTTGTCAGAGCAGCCCAAACTAAGGCGCCCTTCTCAAGTTCTCCCTTCTCTGCCTCAAAAGATCTTTGGAACTTGATCTGCATTCTCTTCATTACCCCAAACTCAGCTTCCTCATGTGTGACACGGGGACAATGTTCCCCTCCAGGAGTGGCTCTGAAAGCTGAGAGAAAATATCTTAATAGATCACATTGTAGGTTCCTAACTTGGTTTCTTTACCCTTCCACCCAGGAGAAAGGCTCTTGCCTGTGTTTTCATCCTGTCTTCTCCCAACTATGGAAGGAACTAAGCCACCATTTCATTTCCTCCTCTTAAACTTTCTTCTGCACCGGACACATTCCCATTCCATAAAGACACATCTCTTTTCCTTATCCTCCAGAACACTGAACTTTTTTTCTCCACCTTTGACCTTCGTTTCACTTCTGTCCCTAAAATGAAAGACTGATTGCTGCTTCCACAGCTGGAATGGACCACCCCCTACCCTCCAACCCCACCATCTCACTTCCACTCTGATCTCTGGAACTCACCTCACTTTGTTTTAAGATTACAAAAAACTTGTGTGTTATTAGAGTTATCAGCCATTTCTCAGGACTTAACTTTAATTATTCCAGACATTCAAAACTTTTCTTAGTTCACAGCACTCTTAGATCTCATTAATTTTTTCATGGCACCCTTGGGCTAAAAGAAATAATTAGGTGCAAACAACTTAATAGTGATACTTTGCATAGCAACCAACAGATGTTGCTCTGTTTTCTTAAAAAAATGTAAACTGCCCCACGATTCTGCTGTGAGTTCAACACACTGCCTCTGGGTGCCTTTGCACACAGGTCGGGAGTAATGACTTCATCCTCATAAAAGCGCGCCAGTTGCCAGCCACTCTTGTATCAAGCTCTCTTTCCTCAATCTGTAGGATCTCCAGCAATTACCACGGCCACTTCCTCAGTGATTCTTTAGGGCTTTTAATTCATGTCGGCACCATCAAATGCCTTTGATCAAGTCCAGCTGAAGATGGCTTACCAGTATCTCAACATTTTTATAGAGAGGTTTAGGATTGCCTCTCACAGAAGACAACTAGTTGTCTTTTTCCCACAAAGGTTCATCATTCAGTTCAAAAGTGGACATTGCCTGTGATTTCCCTCCTGGGCACTTTCCCCATCTAATGAGTCATGAAGACTCTGTCATTTCTTCTGTCACCTCATATCCCATGGCTTTGAGTTACCAGCCCTCTGGTACAGGTTTTCACTACCTATGTTTGGACTTGGCAAGTATTCCCTGCTGCCCTCAGTCAGTCTCTCCTTAGTCCTTCCACTCCATCCCAAATATTCTTCCCTTTGGTATGAACCAAATCATTACATAGCTCTCTGTTTGCAAATATGGTATGTGCCAGCTTTACATTTCCTTTCCTTATCAGCATTCAGCATGCCCAATAAACTAGGCAGTATTTTGCTCTCAGAACTTTCCAGGCATATACCTGTTTCTATACTTTTTCTTATGCTATTCTCCCACTTGATGATATTTCCACTTGAATGGGAGGCAGCACAGATATAGAACATTCCCATGATTAAGTTCTATTAGACTGTGCTGCTGTAACTGCTTCTGCTACAAGAGTGCAGAAGATTGCCCCTTGAAACCAGTCAAGATTTCCCCTTGTCCACACCCTTCTTTCTAAGTCAGCCTTTAGTGATTCTCTTCTTTGGTTGCCCAGGTAACTGTAAGTCTTGGCACTTTGATTGGCTTTTTCTATATCACTGATAGGTATTTATGCTTGTGTATACATGCTTTATTATTGCTCTGCCAAAGGACACTACTACTGCAATCTCTTTTTCCTAACAATTTTTGGAATCCCAGGTTCTACATAAAATGAACACTCAAAAATATTGTCAATGAAATCCTTTAAGTTTTAAAACCACACCTTGGTGATAGCTATGGAAGGTCATTTCCAAGCCGTGTGCTATCATATTGGAAATACTTTCAAAACAATATAATTTTTGTATTTACAAGCTCAGTTTTATTCTTTCAAGAATAAATGCCTTATGTGAAATCTAAGTGTACTTTTTTAATGTAGCTTTTGCATTCAACTAACAAAAATAGTGCTTCCTTAAAATCTTAAAGAATATGAGTTTAAGAAAGAACATCTTTGTGTTTAGCAAGACACACATGTAAAGGCTCTACCACTGTGCTCAGTTCCCCTCGGCCTCCCCTATTCTCTTACAACAGACC